TCCTGCTCAAATCTACAAGAAAGTTATCACTGTAAGGGTTTACACTCTCCTTTTTGCTTTATTTCACCTGCTGAAATGCACATATTCCATTAACATGCTTTATTCCTTTAGGGTAGAAAACCAGACGCTTTGTATAAAGTTAAGGATCCAGAAGTTCGAAGATTTGTTGAGAAATGTCTGGCAACTGTGTCTTTGAGGCTCTCTGCAAGAGAGCTGTTAAATGATTCTTTTCTCCAGATTGATGATTGTGAATCTGATTTGACACCTCTAGAATATGGGAGAGAACTTGATGAAAGGGGTCCTCTCATAAGGCAACCGTATCTGGAACTTCATCACAGTAGTAATTCTTATACTAATGGATACTCAAATGGTTATAGTTATGAGACCCCAAATGAATGGGGGTATTATCCTGCTGAAATTGAATCAAGTGGTATTGAGCTTTTTGAATATCACGAGGATGAACATGCTGCAAATGTTGACATAAGTATCAAAGGGAAGAGGGGAGACGACGGTGGTATCTTTTTGAGACTCCGAATTTCAGATAAAGAAGGTTAGGACCATCTTTTCTTCTGAACTTTCTTTCTACAAATTCTCAACTTTTTCTTTGTGGAAATCTGACTCGTATTTTCTGTCAACTTGCAGGTCGTATCAGAAATATATATTTCCCTTTCGACATTGAAACTGATACAGCATTGAGTGTGGCTACTGAAATGGTTGCGGAATTGGATATCACTGACCAAGATGTGACTAAAATAGCAGATATGATTGATGGGGAGATTGCCTCCTTAGTGCCTGACTGGAGACCAGGGCCAGGAATTGAGGAAACACCCCGCTTTGCAAATCAAAACTTTTGTCACAATTGTGCTTCCAACCGTACATCTACTGGTTCGCTTTTGGAATATTTGACACATAATGGAGGTGTCAAAGACTTGCAACTTCTTCAATGTTGTAGAAATGGATGTACTTCAATGCATGGCCGGTTTGAAGAGATCACTTTTCAGGTTGAGGAATCTGAGCATTATGTGACAGATGGTGCACCAAATGAGTCAAGCCAATCAGACAATTTACATTACCAGGTAATATGGCATCAGCATGAAAGCCATGAACTTAGTCCGGTGGGCTCTAGCCAGAGCCATTCTGATGAGGAGTATGAAAAATCAGATCAATCCTTCTTGGCAAAGGATGAGGAAGAAGTGAAAGCAGAAAATAAAGTGGCATCTAGCGCAGGAAATTCAATACAATGCCTGACGGGTTCTCGTTCTTTCTCCACAGTTCATTCATTATATTGTGATCTCTCAGACAATTACGAGAATGAAGTCCAGCAGGAGCTGAGATGGCTTAAGGCAAAGTACCAGATGGAATTAAGAGAACTTAGAGATCAACAATTAGGACTTGTATCAGACTCTTCAACTTGTGGTAACAGAGATAAGAAAAGAGGTGATGAGGTTGCATCGTTACCAACTTGTAGTAAGTCAGAAAGAGACCAAGGACATGAGCGTAAATTGTCTGCCCATGACAAGCATTTTAACGCCGATTTCCATGACTTTAAGAATAAGAGCCACCCCAATTCGGAGACCCAAAGGGCCCGGCATTGCGCGGCGATGGAGTCTCCAAAAGTAGAAGACATGGTCACTGCTCAGAGTTTCTTCAGTGGGTCACTGCTTCCACCCTCTCTTCACAGGGCAACATCCCTTCCAGTTGATGCTGTTGATACATAGATGTGCAACGCTCTACATTCTTTTGAGCATTCTGTACACTTTATAGAGGCTGTACAATATGAAATCCACCCTTTTTTGGTCAAGCAATGTCTATTCACCTTCAATATTAATCTTCCCTTTCCTACTCTTATTTTAGAACTTGGGAAAAAGATGTCAGGTCATAATCATGGCTTAACCAACCATAATGCCTAGTGGAGTTTTTCTCTATAATATCATAAAGGAACTAATACACCCATCATCACCACCAACATGTTTGAGATTTCAACTCACGATGATAATTGTAAGTCATTGGAAAAAAAAGTAGTATTAGAGAGAATTTGGTAGCTTTCAGGTAGAGATGATACAATCTAAGCCTTCTAAAACCACCAAGAATGACCTGGACAAACTAAGGCCTGTGGACATCCAGCACTTACCTTAAAATTTACTAAACACAGTATCTAAAAGCCTAAAAGACGTTGGCATTGCCTGTGCGTTTGAGTGGATGAAGCCTGTTCTAGCTGGCCAGGTCAATCATGTCCTGCTAAAAGAGAATGGGAAAACCAAAAATAAAAAAGGGTAGTTGCCAGGATGCCAATGAGAGGCTTTTTAAGAGCTTTAGCCTCCGATGCTTACAGGCCCCACAGTGTCAATTATGGAGGGGGAGAGAGGAGGTTTCAAAAGAGAAGTAAATTACATGGACCCACTGCCAAGCTAAGAGTATCCTGTTCCATGCATGCTAATCCCTTCACAATCTGGGGGTTGCCCACAATGAGCAAGATGTTCCAATAAAAGGTGTCAGGTCCACAAACTGACCTCATTTAAGCTGACTTTAATGCTATCTTTTCGAATAATTATTCTACAACCAATAACAATCCCTTGCAGATTGTACAAGTATAGTACAACTACTTTGTGAGGGTACTGATTAGCTTTTGGTCAAAGTTTTCAAAGCACTACTGTTATAAAGAATTGGAGGGAGTCTCCCTAATGGCTCCGATGGAAAGATAATGTTTTTCTTTTCAGTAATAATTTGAGGGGCAAAGTGGAGACCAACTCACCTGGTCTAAGAAAAATTTACCAACTTTTTTATACTTGAAAATTCAGTCTAAAACAAAAGGGCAGTGCTTGTATTGAGACAATAACTTCGTAATACTCAAATCAATAGAAAAAAAAAAAAGGAAAGGAAAAAGGGAAATAAATAAAAGTTATTTTGTGAATAACCCATTATTTTAAAGGGAAGAAGCATCCTAGAACAAGCAAGGTATTAAGAAAATCAAGGGTAATTGGACAATGATTTTTTGGAAAAATCATAACCAAATAAAATAAATATTACTTAATTAGTATCTCACAAAAGAGTGAAGGTGAAGCCAACATCTTTGACTAGTTAAGTCAAAGCTATGACAATAAGCGAAACAAATATGTTTCACCCTCAAGCAATAGATTTAACTATAGCCTTATTTATCAACAAAATTTAGAATGTTTTTAATGATTAAAATGTGCATAGATTCTATAAAGAAGATATACTAAGAAAATAGAAAATGAAATTAATCAAAAGTTTATAGTACTTCTGTCCCATTTTCTTTGTCTATCTTTTCTTTTTTTAAAAAATGTCTTAAAATGAAAAACTTTTTGATTTTTAAATACCACATACTCTAACTTTTTTATATTATAAAATTATTTTTCATGATTTTTTATATTAAAAAATATCGAACATTTACAGTCGGAAAGAATATAATGTATTAGTCAAATAAATAAGCTTCAAGGTCCTTAATTTCTATGTCTAGTGGAAACAAATTTTAACCAGACAAAAAATGAAAAAAAAGAAAAAAAATTGATAAAAAATTATGGGATTATATTAAGGAAGATTTATAATCATTCCTAGTATTTAAAAATCACTTTAATGGGTTATGGATGGGGAATTAGCTGTGTGAATATGCTTAGAGAGAAAGAGGGAAGCATACTTTTTAAATGATTGTGAAATGAGAAACTTTTTAGTTTTAAGTTTTCACTTTCACACATTCATAATATGATCATGACAATGATGTGAGGTTTGTCTCTTTTTCTTTCTCTTTTATATTCCTTTTCATTTTCTTTCTAGTAAGTAATAATTTTTGAGATTACAACAACCCAAGCATGAAAGAGGTGGTGGAATCCTCTAGGGCATGAAAAAGGGTTTCTATTTATTAAATTCAAAAGGTAGTGAATTTACACCTACTTGGACAACTTGCTTTTGGCAAATCAAGGTCCTTTAAAAGAATTGAAAAGGGCCAAAAACAAAAAGGAAAGATGCTTCAATAGACCTCCATTTGCCTTGATAAATTGGGTTGTTTTGCCCCAGAAATCATGAAAGCCAACTTGGATGGTATGTGGGTTAGAATTGGCCCCAAAAAATGGGAATCATGGGAAGATTGTATTCTAGTTTTCCATTGACTCAATGCACATCTCACTCTCAAAAGTATTATTCACATGGCTAAAATTAAAGATGAATCTTCCTTGTATTCACACCCTGTCCATTTCACCTGCAAAACAACCTTATTCGAACATATCTTTAGTAACTTTTGGCTAATGATCTTGAGTCTTTACTTGTTCAAAGTTATGTTATAAAGCAAAGGTAAACAGTAAACAAAGTCACATTCCATTAAAATACTAACAAAAGGCCAAAATAAAAGTAACACCATTCAGATATAAATATTTGTTATTAAAGTAAAATGATTTACTTTAACTCTTCATGAAGGTTAAATTTTTGTACAAAATAGAATGCCGACGGCTCGAATATAAGATCTTTACCCAAATCCCATCTCAGCCTTACCATTGAGCTGAAACCTCAGAAAAATATTTCATTCATAAGGGTGACAGGATCATTCAAGTGAGAATCATGAAGCTTGGTTTCATAAAGGCAGTCCTGTAATAAGTATGTGACTAGAAGTCAAGCTCCACAAACCAATCATGGTTAGGAAAGATTATATGCTGGTCAATGAAAACTAATACTGAAATGATTGCTTCATCCTCAAAATGTTTATCTCGAAAACTGGAACAGTTGTAAGCAAGATGGCCAAGACCAGAGCAAGAAAAAGTGCAAAAGCATTGATAAAGTCAATCACAAATTAATGAAGCTAAGTTCTCCAGCACTAGAACAACTTGTCTAAGATAAGGCTGAACCAAAGCTTAACATAAAAAGTCCAACAGACTAAGCTAATAAGCATATAGAAACCCTGATATAAAAATGAAACAGAAATCTAATGAATTTTCCAATAATAAAGCAAAAGGAAAAGGGGAAAAAATAAACATATAAATAGGAGACGAGGAAAATAAAAGGAACTTACAACCAGAAACTTGTACAATTCTATCAACTTCCCACCACAAGATTTAAGGAAAAAATAAAGATAACAAATGCACTTGGCCTTATCATAATAAAGTTGCAAAATCTGAAAGAGTAGTGAATGTTAGGCACAAAGTCCACTATTAGAGATAACGACAATACTTTTAAAGCTGAGTCAACTTCTAGTCACTGTCATATACTCATTTTCGCAACAAGACATATGCTCCTAACCACACCATCAGCAAACAGGCAAAGAAGAAAAGCCCCCTTCCTCGCAGGACTTTGAAAATATCTGGTACCTCGATCCTTAATTAGTTACTACTTACCAGTTGGAGTCGTTAAAAAGCCCCCAAAATGCTCTGTGCATCCCCTAGATTGAATAAAACAGAGGCTGTGATCATTTCATGACCATCTTTTACGATCACAAAACCATATGAAAATGATAGATAACCACCTTCTAGGATATATTCTTCATGAAAATTACTTACCCTGATAGCAATTCTGGGGTAAATTTCGTTGCAAAGACCAGTTAATAAGAGACTTTATGGAAAACAATGCAGTCAAAGGCAGAAGGTGCGAACAGGTGCTAGGACTGTTATATAGCCTGAAGGGTAAACAAAACGCAAAAGCAGAGCTCTGAGGTAACAGATTATTGCTAGTGGTCAAAAGTCTTCGAGTTGGATCAGAAAAAGAAAAAGGAAAAACAAGACAATTTAACCCCCAAAAAAAAAACAAATACTTTCAAGAAAATATACACCCTCTCTGTTTATATGTTTACAAATCCAGTTCGGTAGACCACATCTAGTCAATCTTGACCTTTGTATACCAGTAAACTTTTATCATATACAATGTACCCAAGGATCTAAGAAGCAGTTCCAATTAATACCTCTCATGAGAGAATACAAGGTACCTAGCTATAAAATTTTATAGAGGCCTCAAGAGCGGGTAGTCTTCAAGTAGTTCCCGCTCCGATAGTGTGTCATTTTCATTCTGAGGGGTCCACAAGACCTCAACTGCCTGAATGACCAAAAAAGAGAGATCTTAGCAATAAATTAGCAACCTCGGCAAGTCATGATAAAGGAATATGCCTATTCTTACAAGTATTTTGCTTGTTGGGATGGAGGCAAGCTTTTGCAAGGCTTCCTTTAAGTCTCTACTTCCATTTACTGGGGGCAATTTATGCACTCCTTCAGCAGCCACCAGAATTGTTATCTGAAAATTCAGAAATTGGATATAAATTAAAGAAAGAATTACAGAACCAAAGAGTTAACTTGAATTTTGAGTCCTCATTATGTCTGAACCTTAAAATGGGCAAGTCTATCACGATTGTTTAATTTCATAGTTTATGCACAGTTTATGCTCCTTAAATAACAGGTTAATAGCCATACCACTATGTACTCATTGCTAAATCCACTAGCTTTCCGACTTGTTGTGCTTTGCCTTTTTATATTGTTCACATTCACAAGAGTCTCTTCATCAAATTTACCCCGTTCTTCAATAGAGAGTTGATTGAAGCGTTTCTCCCCATCATCTATACTTCGTTTCACATCCACCTGCCGAATATATCACATGTCACATCCATATCAGTAACCGTGAAGTATAGTTAACTAAAGCTCATAAAAAAAGGGGGTCTAAATTATCATGGAGATATATTTTTAATGAAATTATTGCAATTAATGGACCCCCTAAGTGAGATGCTCAATGAAAGTATGCAAAGAATGAAATGGTCCTGGATGTCTCCTATTTGTATCAATAGAAAGAGAACTGAATGTCTATAAACCAAGATCTTTAAAACAGAAATCTTATCAGGAGCATGATCCTTAAACTGATTACTAACATCAATGTGTGATGTAAGTATTGCATTTAATAAGTGAAGCACCCTGTACGTACCCACCAACTTACATGCATTGCAATGTGTGACCATATATTGTTTCTGTTAGCATTACATGAGTGCACAAAGAACCTCTACATCTACCAACAAGCATGTCAGTGTCCTTGAACATTTCCCCAAGACTCAAGGTACCAAAGAAATATAACCGTATGCTGTAAGTATTTCACCCACAGAGACAAACAAAACATTCCAGAAAGGCTAACTTACGGATGAATAACCAGAGATGCAATAATCAGGATGGCGAAGCAAAGCTAGTGTTGTCTCTGCAAACCAAACAACAAAAAGGTATGAAAAGAAACTTCCCTTAGTACACATAGTCAATCTGACAGAAAATTGTCCATGATATGTTTAAGAAGATCAGCAGAAGATACATCACTAAGTACCAGGCTACCCGATACATCTACAAGTATTTCTAAAGAAAAGTGGAAAGAAGAAAGAAAAGACCCTAGTTGCCCATTTATTGCATGGGAAAAATCATTTACCCATCAGCAATATAAAAGGAAGCCATGCAATGAATCACATCTATGTGAATCTTAATCAAACTAAAGTACTAAATAAGGGGAAAAACCTATGCCTCTTACTAAATTACTGAACAGTCATAATTTTAAGTCAGCAATTTGATTAGATATCATACAATCGTTATTTTCTAAGCTGATTGCAGATCAATAAATAGCATATCTATACTATACTGCTAAAAGTTTGTGCACTGCCTCTTAGGTAATCATCTTTTCTTTATGACTAGGATTAATACTGGGATATTAGTGTCAAGATGATTGCTACAACAGTTTTTTCATAGATAACATCTTGCCATTTGTAATCTGCATAGTGTGCAGAACATCTACCACTGGATCCAATACAAAAGACTCAAATGCTTAAGCGTAGACGACTATTAGAAAGCTTTACCAGTCAATACAAAGCTTAGACCCTCAGAGGTCGAAGTATCAGCAACTTCAGCGATCCGATTCAAATCCTTCTGAAGAGACCGTCCCATGCCCAACAACCCGACCTAAAAATGGAAATGAAAACGGTTGCCAATCAATAAATGGAAAACAAGTTCTGTTGCAAAAGTGATGGTAATTTTGCACAATTGCATGCATCTAATGATTCTTGTCTAGCTCATTTTATATAAAAAAAAATCTTACAAAATTTAGTCTCAAACTTGATTAGAAAAGCAATTCATATGCACTATTTGAGTTTCCAAACTCCATCCAAACCCACAGTTGAGCAACCTCCTGTATAGCATTTCTGTTTTAAATTCAAACTATGCAGTCATATTCATAATTTTTCACATGTTAGTCAATCCAGTATTCATTCAAATTTCTAACATCACTACTTCACATAACTCCTAACGCATAATCATATATAGAACACATCGCATCGGTAGCATTTTCACTTGGGAAGTTGGATGCCAACTCATTGATATGTACCAATTATGAAAATACTGGAAACAATTCCTTAGAACACAATCAATTTCTCTAATCTAAAACCCAGCCACACCATCATTACTACAAGATCAGTATGCACAAAAGATTATTTCTTTGAAATAACAGAACAAACAGTAATTGATTCATTAATGTTAAACATACATTTGGGACCTTTATCATCTATGCAGTCACAATTTTAACTGATATAAAACCACACATCCTAATTACCGAAATTAGCAGAAACATTACACTACTTAAAAGCAAAAGAAACAACAACTAAACCAATGAAGCAGTCCAATAAGGAAAAAGAGGGCAGAAACCAAAAAGTTACCTGAAGCTTAAGAACGCTAGTCCTTTCACTAGCAGTAAGCACACTACTCTCAGACCTATCCGAGAGAAACCCAGAAACCAAAACAAACGCAGCAAACCCAATCAAAATCAAGAAAAAACTCGACCCGGCACCAACTCCTACCCCAACAGCAGGCCCCATATAAAAACCACCACCACCACCGAATGGAGCAGGCGCATAATAAGGAACCGAGTACGAAGAAAATCTCGACCCTCCATTTCTAGGCACCGAATAACTCCTCGAAGACGAAGAACCCGAAGAAAAAGACCTTCCTCCCATCCTCCCACCTGATGCAGCCAATGCTGCGTTATTGGGATCATACATTAACAACAACCCCAACAAAACCGCGGCGATAGCTGGCTTTTTCAACGCGTTCAAAGCTTTCGAAATCGTCTCAGCAATAATCTCGAATAGATGTTTACCATCCGCGCTCGAACTCCAATGGTTGGAATCCAACTTCGAGCTCTTCCTCTTCTCGGGTAAGAGGAAGCATCTAACATTACATTTAGTGGAACCTTGGGTTTGACAAGTCAAGCTCCCACTAAATTTAGGTAAGCGAGGTGGGGAAGGAGGAGGTAAATGAAGGGGGAAGTAGTGCTTTAATTTCAAGGGATTGGATTGGAGCAAAGAAGAAGTAGTCGTTGCCATGGGGAGAATTGGGTAGGGAGCAGTTAGAAGATATTTTTCGGGGGAAATGGGGAGATGAGGAATGTTTTGTGTTAGTCTAATTAGCGGAGAAGAAATCTGGGCGATGGTGAAATTGGAGGGAGTTGTGGCCAGGGAAGGGGACGGGTGGCCTTCTTCTGTGTTTTCTCAACCTCATATTGATTTGTACATTTCGATCGGAAAATTAACTCTGGATTTTCGAAAACAGAGTGAAGTTTTCCATTTTTTTATTCCTTTCTTTTTGTTTATTGGTGACACGTGTAAACGGATGCTATCTACATAAACGATAGGGTTATGTAAGAAATCAATTATCCAATTTGATTATAAAAATATTTATTATTATTTTCATATTATTTTCTAATTTATGTATTATTTATTTTAATTTATAAATTTATAAATATGAAATTTATTTAGAATTTATTAATTAAATTTATTATTAAAATATATAAAAATAATTAAATTAAATTAGTTATTGTTAACTTTATTCCGAATCGAATTGAGTTTTGTGATCAAATTTTAATCAAATTTTATTAAGATATTGTTAATTAAATTCGAATGGAATATATTTATTGAATTTGATAATCGAGATATCCATTCTATGTTGTTTAGCATTGATAATCTATAAGACAACAAAGATATATATTAAATTTTAGGGTAAAATATATTAACCTTTCAACTTTTAGCAATAATTATACACAAGTTCATTTCTTTTTAAAATGAACACTTCATTTTCAAATGTGTAAATAATTTTAATATTTAAAATATAAAATATCTAAAATATTTTTTTTCACTCTTTTTCATTCTCTCAAGTTGATTCACCATGTTCTCTTTCACTAGTCAATCACCTCGTGGTCGGATTTAACCATAAAATGCCAAACTCAACCAAATCTTCCTAGGCTCCCTTGGGGATCATTGTTGTTCTTGAGTGGTTGGTAAAAAGGTTGAAAAATAAAACATTATAATTTATATAATAATTATCTTTAAAATTAATAAAAAATAAAATTATTTTAAAAATATTATCATGTCATCAAACTAATAAAAATATTAACTATTGACAAACTATAAAACTTATAAGTTTAATAAAAATATTTAAGATAAAATGATCATTTTAAAAATTAATAAATTTACTTATAATTATTATCAAAAGTAAAGAGAATTAATATATTTTACCCTAAATTCTATTATAACTAACTTAGTCTCCCCTTCATTACAAAATGGGTTATAAACCATCCAACCTTTTACTCAAAAAACAAAAACCCATTCAAATTACATGTATCAATAAAAATTGCAATCAGCATAATAAAACAAATATTTATAAGACTGATTATTTGAACATATGCAACAATTTCCATTTCTTGTTGCTTTCAGATTATCTGGCAACGTATATCTATATTAATTTTATAATAAGATGTAATTTATCTCACGTACGAAATGATTAACGTTACTTACACCAATAATAAAAGAGAGTTGAGATTATATATAAATTATATATATATATATATATATAAATGTCGACTTATTCATTTGATGAAATTGAAGTTAAAGAAATTGTCAAACCTAAATAATAAAAATGCAAATTGAAAAAAAAAATCATTAGTAAATGATTAAATCAACTATTGTCCAAGTAATATTTCAAAATGAAGCCAAGAAAAAAAAATCAGAATTCAAAATTTTATGATCATAAAAATAAGATAAAAATTTTCTTGACTTAATTTTCTTGATGGGGATTAACAGAAAATTTTTTTTAAAAAATATGAGTCTGCTTACCCTTCTGTATCTTTCTTGTAATGATAAGTTTAATCAATTTGTACTTTGTTATTTATATATTTATGTTTTATTTTACAATTTTTTGTTTTAATTACTTTTTTTAAAATTCTTCATTATAAATTACACTTCGGTTTCGATTGTTGGTGATATTATTGTCGTTAACATGATTAATATCTTGAGAAATATTTCTTCTCCTTATATGTGAAGAATAAGTGTTTCGATGATTTAATTTCGTAGTAAAGAAAAATAGATTATTCATATTTATAATAAAAACTTATTTTTAATGATATTGATTTAATGTAATTTCAATTTTTATTGATGAATTGGGTAAATCTTATTAATTATTATAATAAAAAAATATTTCAAATGACAGTTTATAATTATAATCAGTAAAAATGTTTTTCTTTTTCATCAATCCAAAAGTTTTAAACATTTGCACTTTTATGTATAATAGTATTTATTGACAAACGTGTCTCACGTAAATACTTATTTTTCACTTATTTTATTTAAAAATGTATAAAAATACAACTATTTCTAAAATATAAACTTTGAAGTATAAATAATTAAATTTTGTATTTTAAATCCATATATAAATTACTTAATGTTATTAAAAAACATTTTGTTTAATAAAATTCATTCAATGCAATTAGAAGCCATATTTCCCATTTGAATAAACCTTATTAATATTCATAATAAAAAATATTTTTATGAAAGCAATTTTATATGATTAGAATTCTTATTTGTCCTTTCAAACAAAAAATTCTTATTTATAAATTGAATAAATTTTATTAATATTTATAATAAAAATTATGTACAATGAAAATTTAAAAATATAATGAGTAAAAATGTCCATTTTAATCAATAATTTTTTTGAAAAACTCGTATTTTTACATATATTATAAAAATGTAGATAGATTATAAATTATATTTATGGTGATAAAAAATATATTTTTATGTTAACAGAATTTAGAAGAAAAAAATATTTTTTATTATTGTTTTATCATAAATTATAGTGGTGGTGATTTTTCTTGATACAAGCCTATAATTCATTTACTTAGGAAGGTTAAAACAAAAATACCACTAGGTAAAAACTAATATACTGGGCCAGTCCGAACTCAACAATACATCATTAGGCTTTATATAGCAGGCCCAGTCCAAGGCTTAACGATTGATAACTAAAACAACTAGCCCAGGCCCAAAACAAGAGAAACCCTATTTAATTCCTAAACCGTCCATTGAAACCCTAATGTTATAAAAGCTAGGGTTCTTCGCCACTTGTTTTCTCTTTCCTTGAGCTGCTGCTGCTGCTGCCATTTCAAAGCCTTTGGTTGCTTCCATAGTTAACTGCTGCAAAGCCTCAAAAAAGGAGAAGGTTTTTGTTTAGCTATGGCGGACAAGGCAGTAACTATTAGGACTAGGAAGTTCATGACCAACAGGCTCCTTTCCAGGAAACAATTTGTAAGTCTTCCCCTGTTTCTCATTGTCCATTCGTTTTCTTCGTAATAAAAAATGGGTTAATGGTAGATTTTAGTCTTATGGTTTTTTTTTAGATCTTTGGTTTCCGTTTTTCCTATTGCTTAGTTGGTTAGGGTTTTGTTTCAGTTTTAGATCTGATTGGCGAAAGGAAATGTAAGAAATAAGAAAAAAATGTGTTGGGTTTCTTTAGTTTGCCGATAAGATCCTTAGTTTAGGAATTTGCTTAATTTGTTGTTTGAAAATAATAGACGTTTTCTTGTGGCATATGATGCCTTTAATACAAGTTAAGATGTTTTTTTTGGGGGAGCTGATAAATCATACATGGGCTTATATTTGTACGAGTTCGTTGTTAACTTGGGAGCTGAAACTTGTTGTTTACTTGATTTTATGTAGATCATTGATGTTTTGCATCCTGGGAGGCCCAATGTTTCCAAGGTAAATCTTTATGTTTCTCAATAATGCCGCAGCTAGTAATTTTGGATTTGTTGTGCCAACGGATTTTTGATTTGTTGATGTGGTGTTGTTAGGCGGAGCTGAAGGAGAAGCTTTCTAGAATGTATGAGGTGAAAGACCCGAATTCAATCTTTGTGTTCAAGTTCAGGACTCATTTTGGAGGTGGTAAATCTACTGGATTTGGTTTGATTTATGATTCCGTTGAGAATGCAAAGAAGTATGAGCCCAAGTACAGGCTGATCAGGGTAATTTTCTGTGTTTTTTGTAGATTTTCTCTGGATTTTGTTAGTAGTGTAAGTTGCCTTTGCTTGATGTGGTTGTGACTGTTTCACGAGTAATATGTTGAAGTTATTTCGTGACTTGGTTTATTTGCAGAATTCTGTTCATTTCCTTTCCTTTTACTAAAACAACCACTACCAATGGTGACACCATAGAGAATGGAATCAACATAGTCCTTCAAAAGTAGCAAGTTGGATTTTGACCTAGAGTTGTGTTGCTTGATTATGACTAAAACTTGAGGTTGCATGCAATTCATCGAGCCAGAGTTTATATAACTTTCTGCCAATTTAAGTTGCTTGATATCAAAAATAGGTTTTAATAACTTTGAAGGCACATTACTTATTCTTCTGGGCTCTATTGCATTTTCTATTAGTCCATTTCGCTGTCATACCTTCTGTCTGGAAATTGTTAGTTATGAGTTGCATTTGCATTTGCATCTCTTTGAGGACTCTAGATATAATGCAGGACACTAATCATTTGTCTTGCTGTTTCAGAATGGACTTGATACCAAGGTAGAGAAATCAAGGAAGCAAATGAAGGAAAGGAAGAACAGGGCTAAGAAGATCCGTGGAGTAAAGAAGGTTTGTTTAATTGGTTGCAATATTTGAAAAATTTTATGATAGCTTACTTGAACTGCTTTCATACTCCTAACTTTTTGGGCTGATTTTCTAACTTCCTGACTGATTTGCTTGTTTAATAGACCAAGGCCGGTGATGCAGCGAAGAAGAAGTGAGCTAAAAGGGAGGGAAGAAGAAGTGAGGTTGTGCTTATCTTAGAGCCAATGTTTTTCAACAGCATTTCTTTACTAGTCTTATGTGTTTTAGGTGTTCTTGAACCTGTATTTTTGAAACTGGATTTTGGTGTTATCTGATGTTTAGTTACATTATCTGATTGTCTGTCTTATTTTGAGTACTCTTCCGGGGGGAGAATTTTGAAATATTTAGTATAATACATTCTTGTTGCCCATCAATTGCTCGACTTTGTACGGCGGTACTTCTGTCTGAGAAAGGATTGCATGGATCTTTTTGTTGCTTTTGGTTTTCCTTAAACCATTTCCATCCCATGATCTAAATGCTACTCTGGAGGTGTTGGTTGCTTCATACCCTTCTGAAGATACAGTTCTTGATCAGTGGAATACTGGAATGTACATAATAATTTCCATTTGGTTGCCCCCAACTTGATTTGAGTCGAAAGTTAAATGAGTAAATGACTTGGAGCAAACTGGCCTTTGTTCAATTCGCACCAAGGCCATTTCGTCTCCGAGAAAATCGGGGAAGAAGGGATTTTCTGATACTAGTGTACGGACATTATTGATAGCAGTCGCTGGGAATTAACCAAGAGCATTCGAAACTGAGTTTGGTAGTAAAACTTTATTCATTGCAACTCCAACAGATCGAGTTTGGTCAAATGTACGTTACAACTTACAACTATAAGTTATATTAATTGCTTCAGAAACTGCGTATATAAGGAACAAATTTAGTTCATTTGATTGGGGTTTTGTCCCTGTCCTTTCATTCCATGGGTTTGGCTGTTCTTGGTGCTTCTGGTCTTGCTTTCTTCGGCTGTCTGCAATTTACTCGCAGTTGTACCCTTGGGCCAGGCGTGAAAGAAGGGGGTCAAGCAGTTTTATATTCATTGGTTCGATCAAAAGTTTTGGTTATAGCCAAAAGAGAAAAAGGAAAAAGGTTATTTGGCATAAAGTCTTCCAATATATATATATTTGAAACTTAATAAATCAAAGTAACCGAATTGGACGGCTTGGATATGAGGCATAGCAATCACAGTGCATCGATTTGGTGACTTTGCACAGCTGAATAAACATAACTTCAATTATCAAAAAAAAGGCTGTGGAGCAGAAACTCTTGAAAGATGAGTGTGGCAGAGAATTAAGCGTGAACCATTGACTTAACATTGAAGTTGAGAGAAACAGATAAAAGAGAGGGAGATGGAAGTTAGATGTGGATCATCGGCGGAAGCACGTGGCACGGGTAAACATCGGCTCGGCTGGTGTTGAAAGAAGAGCAGAACGACGGGAAATATTGAACAAATTGTTGCGTTGTACGCAAGGAAATCATGGAATCAGGTCCAATTGGCTGCTCGGAGTACGAGGATAGCTGTCGTGGGGGTTGTCTTTTTCCCGCGGTATCAGACCAAGAAATTGAGCGGCCTTTTCAGCGTAAGGATTCTTTTGAATTATTCCAACAAATTCTCTCTGATGATATTGAATTTGAAATAAATCACCCGTCACCGCAAACACTCTCTTGTTCTTCATACTTCCACCGTGCTTGTACCAGTTTCTTGTAAGGTATGCCAAAGAGCAGAGAGCAGGCAACTATTTTACCGTTGTTCTCCATGCAACTTTTATCTTCACACTGAATGTGTTTCACCATCTCCGATTACTGATAGTGCAAGTCATGAACATCCATTCACCTGTTTGTTAAGGCACCAATCATTCATTTGTGATGCATGTGGCACCCAGGGGGATTGTGCTCCCTATCAATGCCATACATGTAACCTTCTGGTGCATAAGGAATGCATTTCGTTGCCACGCAGATTCAAAATTACACGGCATCATCATCTCCTCTATCATACATATTTTCTTGAAGAACATGAGTTTAAAATGTGGGACTGTAAAATTTGTCATACCGAGGTGAATGCAGAACATGGGAGTTACAATTGCTCGCCCTGCAATTGTGTTGTTCATGTGAATTGTGCAAAGGATGTCGTTGACCCGGATGGCTTGATTACGACGAGAAGCAACGATAAGAGGCCCTGTAAGAACTTAGAATTCTTGTTTGATGAATCAATCTCATTTATTGTTATCAAGGAGGTCGAATTTGAAGGGCATAAAATAGCGAACATCGATCAGACATTTCAGCCATGTGCATGACTTAGCATTAACTGATGAGATTGGGGATGACAAGCGTTGTGACGGCTGTATGCTATCCATTTCAACTTCATTTTATGGATGTTCGCTTTGTGATTTTTTTGTTCACAAGTCTTGCGCTGAATTGCCCAGGGAAGAACACCATTGGCTTCATGAACATCCCTTCAAACTCTCCTCAGACACCATCTTCAAATGTAATTGGTGTCATCATGAGAGCAGTGGTTTCTCCTACTATTGTGGTAAATGTGATATGAACTTTTGCCTTCGATGTGAAAGAATATCTGAGGAATATACAATTGCAGCACATGAACACCCCCCTCGTCTTTTTTCACAAATATGACGGGAAGTGCAATGCTTGTGGTGATCATATAGATTATGCATTCAAATGCAAGGATTGTGGTTTTGCTTTGGATATTCAATGTCTTAGTTTGCCATATTCAACGCAACATAAGTGTGATCGACATCCCTTCATACTCACTTATCACGATGATGATGATACTTTGTCAAATAGTTATTGTGATATCTGTGAAGAAGAAAGAGATTCAAATCAATGGTTTTACCATTGTGCAATTTGCAATACCTCTGCTCATCCCAATGTGTACTTGAAAAGTACCGATTTGTCAAGTTAGGAAGCTATTACAAAGCTGAGCATCCACATCTGCTTCCTTTTGTTCAGAAGATTTACTACTATCCTAAATGCTTCAAGTGTGACGAATTTTGTGTAGATTTGGCTCTTGAGTGTATACAGTTTGGATGCAAGTATGTTGCCCATTGGGAATGTATAAAACCTTCTCGACTCTACTTCACAGGGAAGATAGAAGAGAAAGGATTTGAGACTTCATTCCAGGGTTTGAGTTCTTACTAGTTTTCAGAGCTTATGGCTTCATGTTAGGTTCGGGTACGTTTTATTTTAATAAGATTAATTACGTAGTTGTGTTTCTTGATGTTTAAAGCTATTACTTTGTGCCATGATTGTGAAACTTGAAGATATTTATCTTGGTTTTTTTTAGCTTTATTGCAACTCCACTAAATAAATTAAGTCTATCATTTATGTGACAGTTTACTAGTTAATCTATTAATTGCTTCGAAAATGCTTTAATAGTTTCTTTTTCTTTTCCATGAATTTCCTAATTAAAATGCATATTCCTTTTTTTCTTTACTATTTACATCATGAAAGTAAAATGTATTGATTCTTGTGCCATAGGTATGGTGGTGATTTGATGATGTCTCTAACATACTGCAACTATTCTTGTGCCATAGGGATTTTCTAAGACTAATGTACATTAACCAAAGAGCATTTGAAACTGAGTTTGCTAGCAAAACTTCATTCATTGCAACTCCAAAAAATGTAGTTTGGCCATATATATGTTACAATTTAATTACTACTGTAAGTTACAGTAATTGCTTCAATAATTGCTATTATAATGATCAAATCTAGTTCATTTGATTGGGGTTTGTCCCTGTCCTTTCATTCCATGGGTGGTGTTGAACCTCGGGCTTGGCCGTCCATGGCGATTCTGGTTGGGCTTCTTAGGCTGTCTGCAATTTGTGTAAAGTATGAATGGTTAATGGGAACTCATGAAGCAAATTTGTCATAAGGAGGTGAATGCAGCACATGGCAGCTACAGTTGTTCATGTGCACAACTTAGCATTAATCGATGACGTTATCCATTTCAACTTCATTTTTGGAAGTTCGCTTTGTGATTTCCTTCTTCACAAGTCTTGCGCTGAATTGCCAAGGGAAAAGTACCATTGGCTTCATCCACAACCCTTCAAACTTTCTTCAAATGTAATTGATGTATCATGAGTGCAGTGGTCTCTCCTACTATTGTGGTAAATGTGATATGAATCCTTGCCTTCGATGTGAAAGAATATCTGAGGAATATACAATTCAAGCACATGAACACCCCCTCGTCTTTTATCGCAAGTATTATGGAGAGGGCACGGCTTGTGGTGATTGTATAGAATATGCATTCAAATGTAAGGATTGTACGTTTGCGTAAGTGTGATCAACATTCTTTCACATTCATTCATTATGATTATAATGATATTTTGTCAAATCATTATTATTATATTTGTGAAGAAGAAAGAGATCCAAATCGATGGTTGTATTATTACGCAGTTTGTAACAACTCCGTTCATCTCAAATGTATTTTTAAAAAGTATCGATTTATCAAGCTGGAAAACTATTATAAAGATAAAGATCCACATCTTTCTTACTTTTGTTGTTACTATCCTAAATGCTTTAGACGTGGCAAGCCTTCTCAAGATTTTAACATTTGAGTATACTTGAGTTTGGATGTAAGTACATTGTCCATTGGGAATGTATAAAACCTTCTTGGCTTTGCTTCACAGGAAAGATTGGGAAGGAAGAGGAAGATGGAAAGCAAGAAGAAGACTACATCGGTTCGAGTTCTTACTAGCTTCCTTAGTCAATATGCAAGTTGGAATAAGTTTATTGGATTAATGTCAAATTCAAGTGTATCTTTTATTTAGATGAAATTAATTTGTATCATAATCATAAAACTTTAAGATATTCGTCTGGTTTCCTAACTTTATTACAACTCCAATGAATAAATTGGGTTTTTCATAGAGGTTATGGTTTACTAGTTAATTTATTAATTGCTTCGAAAATACTTTCATATTTTCTTTTTCTTTTTCATAAATTAATTTCCTACTTAACATGCATAGTTCTTGTTTTCTTAATTATGTATATCATGAAAGTTAAATGTATAGACTATAGACTCTTGTGCCATTGGTATGGTGGTAATTTGATAATCTCTCTAACATAATACAGCTATTTCTCACTTTTTGTTACAAAAATCTTTTACTCATTTGATATTTTTTTTATAATTTTATATTATGTTTTTAATAAATTTTTTATATTAATATTTTTTATCATTAAATTATTTGTTTATACTCTTAAAATTTAAGATTTAGAATATAAAAATTAAGATTTTTGATTGATAATATAAAACGGCACATTTGACGTAAAATTATGAAAAAAAACCACCAAGCGAGACACCTATTACAACAGAATCCTGACCTATCAAGCTTCGACATGTGTCTTACTTGACTGGGGAATCTCGGCCTGTCTTTGGGTTAACTAGCTTGTTGGGTCAGGGTTTGTCCTGTCCTTTCATATCTTGGGTTTTGAACCTAGGTGTGTTTCTGATTGGGTTATATTTGGGCTTTTCTAGTCTTATTCATTGGCTCAATTTCTTTAACTTTTGACTGATTGGGCAAGAAGCATGACGGAGTCCAGCTCATCCAAGTCCGGATAAAAATAACAAATAATTAATTCGAGTAAAATTAAATGAAATATAAATAAATAAATAAAAAGAATAAAAAAATTAAATAAAAATATTAATATTTTAAAAAAAATAGGTAAATTGTAAACACAAAAATGCACGTTGATTGCATGCTGATCTGGTTCATAGAATATAGCCACTATTCTTTTTCCAATCTTGGTGGCGTTGGGACAGACAAGAAGGATAATATCTTTTAATAAGGAAAAGAAAGTAATTGCCGGGCATGGCTTGCATGTTCAATGTAATTATTATTATTATATAGTTAAAATGTACTTGTACATATTTTATGCATGTGAAATGTCAGTAATACAAAGGCAAAGCAAATTTTGACAAAATAATTCGCACCGTTTCGGAGGGGGCATTACAAAATTTCAACAAAGTTAAACAAAGAATAAAAATTGCTGTACTTGGACAAAATCAAAAGAAATTATTGCAAATAAAAGGAATATGTATTTTTCCAATGGATCCAAAGTAGAATCACATTCTCCTATAAATACTTTAATTTAATAACTCCTTAGTCAGAACTAGGCATCAAGCCACCGACCCAAAAATTATATATATAAAAAAGAGAATATTATCCAATAATTTTTTAACTTATAATATTTGCAAGATATTAGGGTAGTATTGAGCTACGCCATTATTGACCTTTGCTCGTGGAATTTGTGATTCACGTTTTTGGTCACTTCAGGCTTGATCGTAGTGGGGTTATTCCAATGCAAGGTGTCTCTTTCTTTCCAAGCTTCATTAATGAAAAAGAAAAATAATATTTTATTTAAACGAATAAAAACAATTACACGTATGCTTATAATTAAATATTTGATTTATTAATTGATGTATTATCTTTTATTTAAAAAATAACGTTCGAATCTTTCATCTCTCAATTAAAAAAAAATAATTACACTAAAGTTAATCTCATCTATAAATTTATATAT